AAAAAAGACTGCCAGGGCTGGACATGCTGGCATTTACCTGTAATCCCAGCACTCAGGAGGCAGGAGGATTACTGTGAGTTTGGGGCCAGCCTGAACTACACAGTGAGACTCTGTCTCAAAAAATGGGAATGTACCTCAGTGAAAAGTACTGGAGCACATAGATATGATGAAATGAGAAACAAAAATGTAGTTTAAACCAGATCGGGATAGTATAAACTAAAAAGGGGGTATGGTGGCACATGTCTGTAATCCCAGCAAGACCCTGTTTAAAAAAGAGAGAGAGAGAGAGAGAGAGACCTAAGAAAAGGCAAAGAAAAAATAAATAAAATGGCATTTGATTAAAAAAAAAATGCTGGGCATGGTGGCACACACATGTAATCCTAGCACTCAGGAGGCTGAGGCAGAAGGACTGGAACATTGCAAGTTTGAGACCAGCCTGAGCTACAAAGTGAGCTCAAGGCCAGCCTGAACTGCACAGTGACACCCTATCTCAAAAAGAGCAAAAAATAAATAATGAAATAAAAGGCGAAGAGCAAAGGTAACAGGAGTACTGTCACCATGAGTGTGGGGCATATAGTTAGTTCAAGCCTAGACTATATAGTGAGAACCTGTCTCAAAACAAAACAAACAGGGGCTGGGGGATTTAGCTCAGCAGCAAAGCACCTGCCTGGCAAGTGCAAGGTCATGAGTTCAATTCCCGGTACTAGAAGAAAAAACTAAAAACAAAAGCAACAACAACAATAAAGCAAAACAAACACCATGCAACAAAAAAACTGGTTATCCAGGGAAGATTCGTAGGAAGGCTTTGCAGCAGCAGGCATTGAACTCAAGGCCTCATGAAGACTGCCTCAAATTTGTGACCCTCCTCCCTCAGTCTCCAGAGTAGTGCAGGAGCTGGTATTACAGGTGTACACAGTGAATAGGAGCAATATGTTTGGCGCTGTGTTTTGGTTTTTTTGTTGTTGTTTTGTTTTTTTCCGGTACTGGGAATCAAACTTATGACCTTGCGCTTGCCAGGCAGGCGCTGTGCTGCTGAACTAAATCCCCAGCCCCTTTGGTGCTGTGTTTTGTTCCAGCAGTGCTAACTCCAGGCCTCACACATACTAGGCAAGTGCTCCAAAACCCTAAAAGGTACAGAGGGGTAGGTAAATTTTGCTGTCCCACTCACGAAAAAGGACTTCTAAAGTCTTCTGAAGCAGTTCTTCTGTTTTTTTGTTTTCTGCTTTTCTTTTGGTATCGGGAATCAAACTCGGGACCACCTGCTTGCAAGGATGGTGCTTGTGCTGCTGGCTCATATCCCTGGCCCTTGTTCTTCTGCTTTTTGGTCTTTGTGAAACAGGGTCTCACCATGTCGTTCAGACTGGTCTTGAACTCACCTTGTAGCCCAGGCTGGTTTCGAACTTGCAACGATCTGATCCTCCTGCCTCAGCCTCCCGAGTGCTGGGATTACAGGTGTGTGCCACCACACTTGGCCTTTTGAAGCAGTTCTTCTGAAAGAACTGCTTCAGAAAGTGGCAAAAGCAAGAACACTGGGATATGTGAGGGGCATTAGTGGCAATGTAGCTTTTACTATAATAAATTTTAAAATTTCAACATTCACCATATCTGTACTTCTTTTCTGCATCCAATAAAACTACAGCCTTAGCCAGGCACGATGGTGCATTCCTGTAATCCCAGCACTTGTACTCGGGAGGCTGAGGCAGGAGGATCATTTCGAGTTTGAGACCAGCCTGGGCTACAAAATGAGCTCAAGGACAACCTGAACTGAATAGCGAGACCGTCTCAAAAAGACAAAAACAACAACAAAACAAAACAAAACAAAACAAAAAAACCAAAAACCCAAAAACAAAAACTACAGCCTTGCCACCTTTAAAAATTAAAAAAAAAAAAATTGCTGTCACTCCTCATTTCCTTTTCCCCAGGTTTTCTTTCCAGGAAATAAAAAAAAAATAAACACAGTTGCAAGTCTTGAGTATCTCTTCCAGCAAGAGTCAAGATATCAAGGGCAAGAGAGGGCTCCGTGTCTACGCCTGATAAGAGGCTAAAATGCTACTTTTTCCCACATGTGTTCCTGCGACATTCTGAGTTGCTCTGAACGGGACCGTGAGTTACGAACCGTAGAATTTTTCAATCTCTCCCCTTCGCCTTTACGCGTCCAGGGCTGGGCCGGCCTCCGCCGGGTCTTCCGATTGGCCGCTCTCTGCCCTCCGCGGCGGGAGGGGCCCCCGTCCGCGCGCCCTTCCGTCGGGGAGCCGTTGAGGGTTTGGGAGCGCCGCCGCCTCCCCACCTTCACCTGCCGGTGGAGCAGCTGGGGAGCCGCGAGGTGCAGCTTCTGGCCGGCCGCCGCGGCCTTCTCCAGCGGCCGGCGGTGCGCCGCCTTCCCGGGCTCGCTGCAGTTGGAGCGTTTCTGGTCCCCGCGGCCCCACTCATGTCTCCCCCGCCCGAGGCCCCCGGCCCCGCGC